TATGATGATAGTGAGCCTTAAAGACTTTATGTTTAGTCATTTGCTATCTCTAAAGAAAGCAGTAAAAGTTGATAATAACAGAGTAGAAGGGCCCAACAGTCATTAAAAGGCAAGAGGAATGAAGTTTATTTTTGTTCATAAACAGTCTCAGTGGCAGCCTGGGTTGGGTTATGGTCATAGAGGGTGTTGCCTCTTACATTTTAATGGCAGAAAACAAAACCAATTAGAACAACACAGAGCTGTCACTTTCCTAGCACCTAGTGAGGGTTTCATTGTTGTGTTAATGCTTACTTGGTGGAGAGTGAAGGTGAGAAGTCAAGATCAAGGAGACTGAGGATATAGTATTCCAGGATTTGGGGGCAAATAATCTTGGGTGTGTGGGTGTGTGGGGGTGTGTGTGTGTGTGTGTGTGTGTGTGTGTGTGTGTGTGAGGCAATCAGGAATTAAGTGACTTTCCTAGGGCACTTACAGCTAGTAAGTATCATGTGTCTGAGGCCAGATTTGAACTCAGATCCTCCTGACTCCAGGGCCGGTGGTCTATCCACTGCACCACCTAGCTGCCTGCAAAAACTTTAATGTATTAAATTTTTTATAGATAGCGTTTGTTTTTCCATCATGTTCATTTCCCATTATATCCCTCCCTCTTCTCATGCCCCACAAGTCATATCCTGGATCCAACAGAAAAGAGCAATTAGGTATCAAAGCGTATGAAGTCAGTGACCTGTAGTCAGGAAGTTCTGAGTTCAAATCTTACTTCAGACTCTTACTAGCTGTGTGACCCTAGGCACTTAATCTACCTACCTCAGTTGCCTCATCTCTAAGATGCAGGCAATAACAGCACCTATGGTTGCTGGAAAGATGAAATGAAATATTTGTAAAGCACTTTGCAAATCTTAAAAGCACTATATATGCTATTATTTAAAAGGAGAAAAAAGTTAATTTAGCCAATCCAAGTAACTTATTGAGAGTGTACAACTAGTGATGTAGTGTGCCTTACTCATTATCTCCCCACTCTGCATTAAAGGAAGTAAAGTCCATCTCTCACGTCTTCTCAGGAACAAGCTTGGCCATTGTAATTATACAGCGTTCAGTTTCATTTCTTTTTATCCTTCCCATGTATATCACTCTAGTTACTGGATATATAGTCCTTTTGATTCTGCTTGCTTCTCTCTCCAGCAGTTTCTCCATATTTCTCTGATTTCTTCATCTTTGTCCCTTCTGATGATATGGATTCCATTAGATTCATGTACCATAATTTATTCAGCTATCCCCCGATCAACCACCACTTACTAAATCTTTCTACACCTCTATTTTCTCATCTACAAAATGATGATGATACCTACGGTATCATTCTCACCAGGTTGTTAGGGAGCTCAAATGAGATTTTGCATATGCAGCATTTTTGTAAACTTTAAGGCGCCATATAAATATCAGTTGTTCAAGTAAACTTTAAAGTATTATAGGTTAGAACGCAGCGCTCCTTGTGTTAGGGGACTGTTTATTTTTGTCTTTTTTCATCTGAGTCTAGAATAGGTCTGTCATATACTAAGCACTTAATAGGCTCTTGTTGATTATATAAATGCAATTATCATTATCATGGTCACCCTCATTGGCACAGTTTGACATTACTCCCCACATAGGATAAACCTGACATATTACCTCTTACCATCACTTCTCTCTTGAATAGGTCCATTTGAAGAATGCTGAGAGTAGAGAGTGAGCCTGAGAAGCAGGCAGGTGGCAAGCAATGACGTTAGTTTCCTTTTCCTTTCCCATAATCAGCCTTTCAATCCAAGGCCCAGGGTTTGACAGCAATCTGGACCTCAGAGGGACCAATATCCATTCTGTCTCAACATAGCTCCATACCTTCCTCTTCATTTCCTGAATTTTCAGGTCCCACTAACTACAGGAGTAGAAAAGGCCAAGGCTGATTAGGTGAAAGATCAACAATTGCCAGAAGCATAACTGGGGTGTGAAGCCTGGGCTTCATCCCAGGAAGCTGAATTTAGAGGGCATTGACAACATTGCAGTGTGCATGGATGAACCTTGCTTCCCTCACCCCTCTAAGCTCTAGTATTGGCAGGATCTTCGGTGGTCTTGTTATAGTGTCCCAGGAACCTCTATGTCCTTCCTCACAAGGTAGTGTCCCAGTCTTCTCCACAGATCCACCCCAGCCCTTCCTTTTGAACCTGTTACCCCAGAGAATAATTTGTGGTGCTTGCCATCAGCACAAAGATTCCTGGATTAGGCTCTGTTTATCATAACCTCTCTTCTACTCTTAAGACTAAGCATCGCAGGGGGCAGCGAAGTGGTACAGTGGAAAGAGCACCAGCCCTGAAGTCAGGAGGACCTGAGTTCAAATCCAGCCTCAGACCAAACACTTGACACTTACTAGCTGTGTGACCCTGGGCAAGTCACTTAACCCCAATTACAAAAAAAAAAAAAAAAGACTAAGCATTGTTTCCTACCAATAGCCACTCATCAGCTCCTGTGATTCCTTCCCTTCTATTCCTTCCTCTCCCCTAGGACTTTACCCCTGACAAATCATCTTCACAATCATTATGTCATCTACTCCTCACATCAGCTCTAAGAGGTGGACAGAAGCAGAGACTCAATATTCCCATTTTATAGATGGGGCCACTCCAGCCCAGAAAGTGTAAACCTAAGATCTCCTAGCCCCTGAGTGGCAGAACTAGGACTGGAACTCACATTGTCTAATTTCTGGTCCAGGATGCTTCACGTTATGCCATGTGGTTTCAAAATATTTGACCCTGCTTACTCTACTTTGGCACGCAGAGCAGGATCCCAGTTGGACTTTTCCTGTGAGCTCTTCTGCCCTCCCCTCCACATAAGGCACAATCCAATTATTGCGTTTCTCCTTGTAATTCTACCAGCAGAGTCAGGTGAGTTAAACAGCAATGCATATATGTGAGTGTAATGTGTATATGTGTACACATATGTATAATACATATATATGTATATATATATATATATATCCCATAAATGTGAAGGTCAGAGAGTGTTGATAAATTCACAAGCCAAGCTTCCTAGAATGGTTTAGATTTTACAAACCTAAAGATCTTTTTTCTTAAAAAAAAATCAAAATAATAGCATGTTTCATGACTCAGTTGTTGAAATCCCCCTAAAAACATGTCCTCAGGCTGGTGCTACAGTCACAGTGTTGGATTTTAAGTAAGAGGCCTTGGGTTTAAATTCTACATCTGCACTCACTTCTAGAGTGGCCTTGGCCGTTCTGGGCCTCAGTTTCTTCATCTATAGAATGATAGGGCTTGGCCTAGGTAACTTCCTAAGAGCCTTTCCAGCTCTAAATCTGTGACTTTCACAACTTGGAAGGTCCCTCATGCCAATATCCGCAGACATCCACCAAGCACCATTAATGACCAGAGAGCGGCAGCCAGGAGGTAAAGGATCTTGAGAGGACTTTGTAAAGTGTTTCCAGAGACCTTTCTCTGGAACCATTCCCCCGCCACCCAAATCATTTCCAAATATAGTGAAGGATGAGATAAGACTTGGAGAAGCCTGTAGAACAACAGAGGCTCTTATTGCATGGGTTTGGACTTAACCCAAGTCAAATCATTTCACACACATTCTCTCATTGAGGCCTCCCAGCAGTCCCCAGTCTAAAGCTGATGCAGTCATTAGACTGCAGGATAGGCACTAAGCCTTTCCTCTGAAGTTTTACCAACACACTACCTCACAAAGCCTAAGAAGGCAAGGGCCAGGGCTTATCAAGGCTCACCTCTCCCACTACTGCCTAGAGCCTTCTCTGTTCGAGATGATAATGACTGGCTTTTATACAAGTGATTTACATATAATGTCTTTTGAACATCATATCAAACAAGGCAGGTGAGTATTAAAGATGTCATTATTTCCATTTTACAGATGAAATAAGGTTACAATTATAAACTGTTTAGCACAGTGCCTGGCACATAGTAAGCACTATATACTTATTAGTTATTATCATTATCATTATTATTACTTTCAAGGAAACTAAGGCTAATGGAAGAAGTTATTTGCCTAGGGTCACACAGGTCGTAAGCATCAGGGAAAAGACTTGAACCCATGTTTCCCTGGCTCCAAGTCTAATGTTCTAACCACTGTACAACATTACCTCTATATTTTGTTTGCTTTTTTTTTCTGGAACTGGGATTCTACTCTTGTCGGAAGAGCTCTTGATATGGAAACTACATCTAGCAATGCAAATTTAGAATTACTATGTCTTAGTGAGCTGCCAGGGGTCCTAGGAAGTTAAGGTGTTGCTCACAGTCAGAGAGCTACTAAAGATCAGAGGCAAGACTTAAACCCTTGGTCTTCTTAACTCCAAGGCCAGGCCTAAACTAATTAATCAATTAACTTGTTAATCCATTCATTCAACAAGCCTATTTTTAAACCTCTGACTGTGTGAAGGGCTACAGATATAAAGACCAAAAGGAAACACTACGTGACTTCAAGGGGCTTCCATACAGTGAAGGAAAACAACCTGAACACAAATCACATAAATACTAAAAAAAGAAGGGATTGTGATTTCACCTATGTAGGAAATTCATGATAAGGACATTGCCTCCACCACTGGAGATCAGCGCCTACTCTGAAATTTATAGTTTATGAGCACTGAGGCACTGAGAGTTTGTGACTTGCCCAGTCATACAACCAGTATGTGAAAGAGCCAAGACTTGAACTCAGGTCTTTGTGATTCTGAAGCCACCTCTCTATCCATTACATCTTAGCTGCCTTTATATATAAAGTATATACAAAGTAAATATAAAGAAATGTGAGAGGACAGCGTTATGCTGTCATGTTGCTGCCATAAGTGGGTATTCAATACATGGTTGTTGAGTCAGTAATTCAATCAACTAGCATTTATTAAGCACCTACTATGTGTTGAGGAACTGAATCTACTAGCAGAGGGCTTTGTCCTTATTAAGTGCAAATATTTATTCCTGGAATAATCAGTGATGTTTAAGTTGATGCTCCCAAAATATCCAATTGCAGGAACCATTTGTAATAAACTATACAAGGGCTTCCACGTGTTCCATTTTTCAAAAAAGTGAACCAGAGCACATGGACCCTAAACTTTGTCTCTTCTTCCTTGATAGTATATCTCAATCCCTTATTTTCCTTCTTTAGTTAGAGCCCTGACCAGTGGTCATATGATAGTGCAGCTACAACAATATCTCTCTGGGTAGTCCAGTGCATACACCTTGTTCTCCAGGCCATAGATGTAATAGAGGTAAGTCTTCCCTTGGTACCAATAATGGACTTCTGTGAGTGGGATCAGCTCAATGGTCTGACGCTGAGGAAACACAACACAAAAAAAGCCATAAGTAGGTATGGTCTCTGCCTCAAGTCCTTCCCCACTCCAATATATCCTCCACACAACTGACAAAGGTATTTTCTTTAAGCACAAATTAAACAAGTCAGTCCTCAACTGTATAAACTTCAGTGGCTCCCAATTGCATCTAAGATAAAATCCCTCCAATTAGCTTTGGAAATCTTTCATGATTTGGCTCCAACCTATCTTCCCAGCCCCATCACACACTACTCCCCTTCTTGCATCAAACTGGGCTGCTGTTTCTCTGTTCCTCACCCACAACAGCCCATCTCCTCTTTTCTTGCCATTGCATTGGCCATTCTCCTTACCCAGAATACACTTCCTCACCACTTTCACCTTATAGACTACCTCACTTCCTTCAAGATAGAGCTCATGAAGCACATGATCCCTTTCCTAATTCCCCAACAAATAGTGACCCCTCACTACATTGTATTTAAGTCCCTTAAGTTTATTTTGTATTTATTGTGCATGTTTTGGTTCTGTATATTTATAGAATGCAAATCCATTAAGAGTAGGGATTATTTATTTTTGTCTTTGTATTTCCAGCACCTAAAACAGTGCCGGTCACATAGGTGCTTAATAAATACATGTTGATTCATTGATTAGGTATTGCTAGACCACAACAAAAGAATGAAAGCGCTGAAGGTACCCCCCCCCAACATGCCTACAATACGTTCCAGGGACTATGTTAAGGAATACAAATAGAAGTAGAAACACAGCTCCTGCCTCCAAGGAACTTCCATTTTAATGGTGGAAGACAACACCCAAAAGGGAGTTGAAAGGAGGAATTGGAGACCAGCAGGGGGCATGGTGTTGAATTCCAAATGCATTCAGGAATGGGGTGGGGAAGGAGGATATCACTTTTAGATGAAGAAAGTGAACCCTGGAGACATTAAGTGACTTCCTCAAAGACACATAGGCAGTAAATTGAAAGCAGCTCTCACAATTCAATCTCTAGTACTCTCTCCACTATCTCTAGTCTTCAGTATGAAGTGAAAAATGCAAAGATGTTTTTTTTTCCATTGCTATAGTTTAAAGTTCAGGACTTCAAAAAAGAAAAGAAGATATGGAAATAATAATAATTAATAATGACAATAACAAGAATTCATTTGTATTGTTAGTGCTTTCGGGTTTACAAGGTACTTTTCCGACAACAGCTTTGTGAGGCGGGTCCTGTAAGTGTTATTATATCTGCATTTTACAGGTAAAGAAACTAAGGCTTAGAAAGTTTAAGTGACTTACCCCTGGTCAAGTAGCTAATAAGTGCATGGAAAAGTCATATTTAAACCCAGCTTTCCTGACTCCAAATCAGTGTTCTTTTCATTACATCACAATGTTATCAAAAAATAGGAATTAGATTTTTGATCCAGGTTGAAGATCCAGGAGCAATGAATTCTTGACCAGGCATGAAGTTTCAAATAGAGGCTGGGAGGAATACATTTGCCTAGATTCTCACATAGAAGATCAAGGGAAAGGCAAATGTCCCAGTCTGTTTGTATGTTTTTAAGGAATAGAGAAAAGAGTGTGCAAACAATAGGCTAGTGAAGTTAATTTAAATTCCCATGAAAAATTCTAGAACATATAATTAAAGAGATGGTTGGTGAACATCTAGAAACAGAAGCAGTAATTACAAAGATCCATTATGGTTTCATCAAGAACAAGTCATGTGAGACTCCCTTTATTTTCTTTTTTGACAAGGTTATTAAACTTGTACATCAGGGGATGCTAGGGAGATGGTTTAGGCAGATTTTAGCAAAGCATTTGATAAAGTATCTCATACTACTATTGTGAAGAAAATGAAGAAATGTGAACTAGACAATCATATAATTAAATGGATTTGGAATGGGTTGAATGCCTGGGCTCAAAGAGCTTTCATTAAGTTGTCATTAACTGTCAACTTGGCATGTCATCTCCAGCAGAGTGTCTCTGGGATCTGTGCTTAGCCTTATGCTGTTTAATATTTTAATCAATGACTTGGATAAAGGAAAAAATGTCATGCTCATCAAAGTTGGAAATAACAGGAAGTTTAGAGGAATAGCTAACACACTAGATGCCACAATCTGAAATGCACCCCCAAAAATTTCTACCAGCTAATATGGGGCTCAATCTAATGAGATGAAACTCATTAGGGAAAACTATAAAGACTTATACTAGGCTTTTAAAAATCAACTTTGTAGGCACCAGGTTGGGGACATGTAGTTGGATAAAAGTTTCTGTACAATAAATCTGAGAGTTTTAGTGGATTTCAAGGTCAAATATGAGTCAGTAGGGTGAAATGGCAGTCAGAAAGGCTCAAGTAATCTTGAGCCACATAAAGAGAGGCAGAGCTTTCAGGGAAAAGGAGGTGATGGTTCCTCTGCAGGCCACCGTGGTCACAACACATCTCTAGTGTCGGGCTCACATCTGAATATCCCAGCTTGAGGATGACATTAATAAGCTGTAGCATATCCAGAGAAGAGCAATTAGGATGGTGAAGTACCTTGGGTCCACGCCATATGAAAGCCACTTGAAAGATTAAACATATTCTATTTGAGGCCAAAGGTCATAACCCGCAGCAAAAGGCAAAAAATGGGAAGAGGCACATTTAATGCTTAATGTCAAGAAAAATAGCTTAACAATTAGAGTTGTCTAAAAGCAGAATGAACTGCCTTGGGAAGGGAGAGGGTCCCCTTTGTTAGAAGTATTCAGATGCAAGCTAGTCAACCATTTTTTGATTAGGAAGATAGGGATGGAGCTAATTGAAGAATTCCTTCCAGTTTGGATTGGACCAGGTGGCCATTGAGGTGCCTTCCAACTAGAAAAATCTAAGTTTCTGTCATTTTGTGATAGTCTTTCCCTACAGTAAATATCCACAAATAAGCTGTAAAGTGCCTGGCACATAGTAGATGCTATGTAAAGTGTTAGCTATTATTGTTATTATTACTATTATAATCATAGCTATTTTCCATGCAATCCCTGAAAAATTGGGAGTCTGAAATCTGAAAGATTATCAAGAGATAACTCTAATGATTCCTTCCCATTCATAGTCCTGCTAATCCATCAAGGGATATCAATATCCTCTGAGGCTTTCTCAATGGAAACAAAGATTGACTCAATTTCTTGCTTACATATTAAAAATCAAAAATCAATTACAGAAAACACTACCATTGCATACAATACCCACTCTCACCAGATCTTTTCCATTTTGAAAAAAGTACCCGCTTGCTAAAATATTGATGTCATACTACTGAGTTAAATTCTTCCTAATCTACTGGAAGAAAGAAGAAAAAGCAATGGAAAGCAAACTAGAGTCAGAGTCAAGGCTCCAGACTATTAAGGGCTAATATACTTGGCTCCACACCATCATTCTCTGTTTGGTTTCCATGGGGATCAAGACCTAGCAATACTCTGGATGTTCATGAGCCAAGCAGATATTTGGGTTCTCTCAGCCCAGCCAGGAAACAGGAATAACTTTTTTTCTGTCTCCACTGGTAGAAATACCACCCAAATATTTATTAGTAAGTGGGAAGACAGAAGGAATAATAATAGTAACTCACATTTATATAACACTTATGAGTATAGAAAGAAATGTTCCCCGTGATCACCCTGTGGGGTAGCTTCATTTTAAATGAGGAAACCAAGGCTTAGAAAGGTAATGGGACTTCTCCAAGGTGACACAGCATGTAAGGATAAGGCCAAGAACTCAGTATCATATAATTGGAGAGGTGGAAAGAGCACAGAAGCCACATGGTCTACCCTGAAAAGGAAGGGTGGGGGTAGGAATGAAGATGAGAGAATGCTGATGTCAACACTGCTATGAAGGAAGATGAGACAGATCAGTCTTGACCCCTGATTAGACATGGTAGTCAAGGTAGAAGACATGATCAAAGATGATAATAAGATTATGATTCTAGGAATTTCAGAGCACAGGTTTGGTTTCATGCATATTGAGTTTGAGATGATTTCAGCATAGCTAGGTGGAAATGTCTAGTCAGAAGCTAGAAGTGAAGAATTGGAAAGGTATACTGGGAGAGTGAAAAAAGCATCTGAACTGAAGCCAAGAGTTGCTATTTACTGGCTAGGTGATCCTAGAAAAATCCCACAACCCCTCTGAAACAAAAGTTGCATGTTTGTAAGGTAGAGATAACAATATCTTCCCTATCTATAATAGAAGGATAATAACTTTATAGACTCGGTATGAGGAAATTACCCAGTAAAACGAAAAGTTACAAAGATGCAAAATACTATCTAAAACTCAGGATAATAATTATATACCTGTGTAAACATACATACATGTATATATTTATATGTGCATGCATATGTGTTCACTTATACACAGATGTATAGATGTATGTATATATATCCAAAAGGGTGAAAAGGAAACAAATAATTATGTATGTGTATATGTGTGTGTGTGTGGGCATATGCACATTTTATATGTGCATATATATCTATACATATAAGTGTGTGTATACATCTAATCAGATATAATCTGATCCATGATAAAAAGGAGGCAGCCTGCAACCACAAAAGGAAACCTGACTGGCATCAGAAGACCTGGGCTCAGATCCCATCTCTGATGCTTCCTTTTGGTGGGACCTTACCAACCTGGGCCTCGGTTTCCTCAACTTTAAAGTAAAAAGATTAGACTAGACAGCTGTTGCACTTATTTCTAGCTTTAGGGCTATGATCCATATCTGAGGAAGAATTGCCTCTGTGACTTATAAAACCAGTAGTCAGCAAAAACCCAGATTTCCTGATGCCAAATGCCCTTGCCCTCCTTTTGTGGTTGGCAGGAGAGGAAAAAACCTAAGAGACTGGAGATCCAGTCCTTCCACTCCTCCTCACCTCATCAGCTGTGTGACCTGGCATGAGTACCTTTTCCTCCCAGAGCCTCAACTTCCTTCTCTGTAAAATGACAGGTTTGGACTAGATGACCTCAATGGCCTCTCCCAGCTTTTTGGCACACAGCCTGTTACAAG